TAGATTTTGCATAAAACAATACATTATAAAGTCAGATTGAGAAAAAATATGCTTCAGCTGCAATCAAAGGGCACTGATAGGTGGAAAGGTTGTCAATTAAGAGAAGATCCAGTGAGAATTTTAAATGTTTTAACTAAAAAAAATATATTCTTTTTAATCTATTTCCCTAAATAGCTGTTTAATCAATTTAATTAAATTAGCAGAGGGCATTGACAGATTTTAAACAAACCTTTGAGGCTAAAGAATATGGGAGATGCTGATCTTAGGTGTATGCAGTTAAGGGGCACCAATGTGCATTTGCAGGGGTCAGGTTGGAAAGCTTGTGTGTTCGGGCCTTATAATATATCTTTCCTAATATTTAAAAATGTTTTCAGATTTATTATAACCTCACAAAGCACTCATGCATTGATTCTGTTTACAGCTTGCAGTAACATCTGCCCACACCAGTCCAATGATCTCCAGAGAGTGTCAGGAATGAACACACTAAAAATGTGTTATGAATTTTTAAATCTTTAAAATGCGCATTGTTTGTCCACAATATGTTCTGGATATGACTGAAGAACTACGAACTGACCTTAAGCAATGCTCTTCAAGCAGATTATTCCCTAGTTATCTCCAACTTTTTATACTATCGACCTCATTTGCCACTGCTAACCGAACAGTTACCCAAGGTTGCTCATTACGATATTAATACATTATGCCATTCATTAATTGTATAGTAAATCTTGAGCTGAATTCCAAATATTTTTTTTTCTAAACTTGCATTTCTAGTTAAAGGACATAAAGCAAAGTTTAGCTTCCAAAATGGATTTTGGAATCTTGTCTCTGCTATGGGTAAGACACGCCACTGCAACAGACGCTTAGACAGGATCATCAGGCCTATGAAACTTAAGTACGCAGCACTAAGAGTTTATGAAGTCTGAGCGGCCTGCAGCCTCCACTTGAATAATGGGATATTTTGGAAAGTTTCTGCCGTGTTCTAACTGATTTGCATTCAGCAGGGGTGATGCAGCAGCCCTTTAAAAACATAAAAATCTTATTCAGATTCAGTGACTTTAAGATTCCTCTCCATGCCTGAATACTTGTGTGACCATCAACCTTAACTTCATATGAGAAGACTATTATTTCCAAAGCAGAGTGACGCACAGTGAGTCAAGCTGAGTTATCTCTAAGACTCACTGTGGAAACAGATTTCTTTCTAATATTCTAATCTTTATTTTATTAATTTAATAAGAACTAGAAACTACAATGAAAATGTATCCGCTTGCAGTCAGTGATCAGATTTTTAAAGAGTCAAAACATGTAGAAGCAATTTACACTTGATGCCATATTCTTTTAGGAAAGACAAACTGACAATGCATTAATTTTATGCTTCAAATTAGGCCTATAATTGATCAATAAATAAACATATCAGCTACATTTTGAATAATCAACTATAATTCAGATTATTCTATTAGCAGACTTTTTTCTTGTTTATTTTTTTCTTTACATTCATATACTTATTACTATTCTTTCAGTTGTTTTAAATTACATTTCTAATTGGTTAACCTTTAGATTAGGAAGATAATTACCTGTTATTTCTGTTATACTTAATGAAGAACCTTTTCTGTTCGATTAAGAGTGATGTATAAAGTTCTAAGCCTTAAGGGTATATTCATTACTGGATTGTTTTTTTGAGAAATTGATGGTTGAAGGTTTCTGCAGAACACTTCAAGAGTATCCAAGATGACATTTTTAAGGCATTAAAAAAGAGAAAGAAGACAGATTTATCTCTCATTTGGGAGATTAGCTATGATGTCAGCAACACAGATCCAAGGGATTTAATCAGTTAGTTATTCAATCCATCTCTGAACAGGTGTGCCTGTTATCAAATATGCAGCCTTTAACATGTGCCAGATTTCCTGCTTTATAGAAAGAGGTACTGACGATTAGGCTCTATACTAATGACTCGAAAACATGGCTGTGCAGTATGGAGAAAAAGCCTTTTGAACTTGTTTAAAAATGTTCCCATCAAATCATTTTCTATTGCATTGAATATTGTTTAAAGTTAAAACTTCACAGATTTATTTCTATTTATATTCTGTAACAATATGCAGACAACGCACTTATCTGTTCCTATACTTAAAGCAACAATAGTTATTAATGAAACCAATAAATGCAATTAAAAGCTTAAAATCTTTGGTTTGAATGGAACAAATGTGATTTGCATATGTGCATGAGGGGGTGTGATTGCAGTGTGTAATGATAAGAAAAAGAAAAGCCTTTTAGGCTTTCAGAGTAACAAAACCTTACGTACTAATAATAATGAAAAGCATTTTCTGACTTTTAATGAACTAAAAGAGAAGCATCAAAGTGCATGCTGTGTGTTTATGCATTTACAGACTAAAATGTATGGGAGTTCTTAAATTGATGGATTTATTGAAAATAACAAAAATCTATATTTTGAGCAATTAAAGCTGATCAAATGGGAAATGGTAAATGGCATGTACTTATATAGCACCTTTATTCAAGTCAGCAGACTTGACCAAAGCGCTTTACACTACATTCATTCACCCATTCACGCACACACTCACACACTGATCAAGGGGAAATTGGCCCTATTCCAGATCAGAGAATTTGCCTCAAACAAAAGCAAAAAGAAGTAAATGTAAAGTAGCCCAAAGATTCTTACGCAGCTTTGTTTTTTTTAACTACTGCACATACTGTACAACAGGGAACATGAGAAATAGTGATTCGATTCCAGCAGCTACAGGGTGGTAGGAGTTAATACAACAAAACTACTTTTATTTGGCTTTGAAAAAAGTTTTTTTGTTTGTCTGTTTGACTCGTTAACAGCTTCTCAGATGTCTTGGACAGTCAGTGTTTTTTTTTTTTTAAGTCTGCTTTTTCCAGCATAAGAGACAAAATGAGTCTCTATGCATGGAAGAGTTTAATGAGCACCTGTTGTGTTAAATGTTTGACGACTCTGCTTCCTGCAAATTGCAAATTTCCACAATGTGAAACATATGACAAAAAAATAATAGGCTCTGAATTTCAAGTGCTTTATCTATTAAAATGCCTATTAAGAGCCTACAAAAATGTCTTTTCGTATATTCTTTGCTTAAGGAAATGTAATATGTATGCAGGGTACACTATGTGTCTAGACTGCAGAAGAATGGCATCTTTTTTTAGAGGAAAATTTTTATATTCGCTAATCATCATTTATATAAAGCACCTAAAAACACTTTTTTTTCCCCCAACAAATGCAGGGAGAACAACTCAAGCTCAAATATTTCTTTTTCTTTTACTTGTGTACTTTGTCCTGTTATTTTAAGTACTATTGCTGCAATACATGTGTTCATCTTGCAAATATGTTGGTCTTCACATGTTGTCACCTTGTTTTTGTACAGGCAATATTACTAAGCTATAGGATGTCAAAATTAAAAACTTAAAAAAAATGAAACATCCTTCAATGACTCCTCCTTCTCCAAATCACATCTATAGCCATCTCTATCGTTTGGCAACTGACCCCAAAGCAGAGTTAATTGTCACAAAGTAACAAGGGTTGGTTTTCCCTATAAAACAATAGGGTTTAATTAAAAAAAATACATATTTTGTTTTGTTTGAAGATATGGAACTAGATTGTATCATCACTCTATGTCAAAATACATTTTTATTCAATAATCATGGTATTACTTCTCTGAAACACATATCTTCTATTTCAACATAGATTACAGTCTATGATTACAGCATTTGTGATTGACCGTCATCCCGAGTCCTCAGTCTTGCAGAGTTTTTCGTGTTTTGATTTTTAAAGCAAATATTTCTAAAAAATAAAAATAGGATTCTGTTGTGAGAATTCTTTGCAGTGTTTCTGAGGCTTTTATTTTGTTTATCTTGATAACAAAATTATTGCAGATCTACTAAAGTTTTTTCATATAAAGCCATAAACTACAGTAATTCAAAAGCAGATACAAGCAAATCCACTTTGTGCTTAAAACATTAACCTTAACTTAGTATCAATCCTGTGAATTTTTTTATTTGATTAGGGAAACCGATAAGACAAACCGAACAAAACCTTGAAAAATGAAAACATAATCCTAATATATGTGTATATATATATATATATATATATGTATAAATCTGCCCAATTTTCTCATAAAATCAATGTTTTTGATAAACTAACAAAAAGAGCTTAACTACAAAAAAATATTGAAGCAGCTGAAGTCCATAGATTTCTTCGTTTAAACATGATGTTAATTTCCTGAGATATCGTTGTTATAACATTGTTGTTGTAACATTGTTAAGCTGGTCACTGTCAGTCTTATAAGGGTCTGAACACTTCAGAACCATAATGACTAATTCAAAAGTGGATCAAAAAGTCACTACTGCACAAACAAATACATATATATATATATATATATATATATATATATATA